TCTCAATAGAGCTTCCTTTGTTTTAAAGGTGAATGTATTCTACAAACCTGAATCCTATAAAGATAATGGAGAATATTTCCTTTTCGGAAGCTGTCACATGTTGCCAGTATTTGAAAACCAAATGATGTGCAAAGGAAAATGTAAGTCATTGTTACAATCTCTTTTGGTTTTATGCCTTGGTTTTTATTGCTATAAATAGAAAAAGGAGTATTACATTTTCCCTGAGTGTCACATTATCTCTTGGTGTGAGAACTTTCTCTTCTGCAACTCCTGTCATCCAGAACTTCCTCCTCATACATCTCCATCTCTTTTCACTTCTTGGCTGACAGCATCTCCTTTCCATTTCCACTTCACTTCTCTCTATGGCTGGTTTTGCTATTGGCTGCAAAGCATTTTGGGATGCAGCTTGTTTGAAAGACGCTGTACTAAATAAAGACATATTTTGTTGTGTTTCTACCCAACCAATGGAAATAAAGTCACCAGCGGACAACAGCACGTCAGCAATCAGAGTCTATACCCCAGAGGAAAAGCAGCTCCTCATTTATTCCATACACTCTTATCTACACCACTTATTCGCAATGAATACAAACCGATTTTGCATTCTGCCAAAATGTTATAAAGCCCTGCTCAGCCTCCCCCAAGCAGTGAATTACAGAGCTGACAAACATACCTTTCCAGGTGACTTCTCCAAGTGTTAACTTATTTGGGGTGATAGATGGCTATTGCTCATTGAAGGAGACAGGGCACACACGTATCAGACTACTAGGGAGCTAACAGTCAACTAACCTTAGCAGGAGCAAATGAATGTCCTGCACGTAGTACAACTGGATCCCCCTTACCAGGGACGGGGGGATGCGAAAGAGATGGGTCTTTTGATACCAAGGTGTATTTGCTCCACTTGAATTTGTTAACTACATAATACTCTAACACAAACGTACACATAAAACACTGCTTTATTGACTGCATTTGCCAACACATTGAGGAATGCAAAGGTTTCTTCATAAGCAATGGGCCATGGTCCCAATGTGTATTAAAGCATACACTGAATCTAAACATGATGAAAATAATGGCAGACAGAGCTATTCCAAGGCAACACAAATAGCATGCATAATACAGTCTCACACGGAACAAGTTTGATACATTATATTGCTTTAAGGATTAACTAACATGGAAAATGTACAAAAAGGAGAAATAGGTTTTTGCATTAATGAAAAATACATTTTTTTCTCTACAAAGGAATTTCTAATACAAGAAAATAAATATTGCAACATAAGCCAAAAATAATTTAAAATTGCTCTTTTCAATATATTTTCAATATTTCTCTTTTATATTAACAAATGGCACATCACGTTCTTTGAAACAAAGAAAACAGAAGGGTTTCTCCTCCTGTGACATTCATATCGTTTCCTGTAACTGATGTGAAGCGGATCTGTTTTGTGTGTGGAATGGAGCAAAATCCATGGGAATTTCCTTAAAGAACAACCAAAATTAACACGCTGCCCTGGCAACAGAAAAAGAGGTCCCTTAATGATGGGGTTTTTGCTGGGGACTAAGTGACAGGCTCATGAAAATAAACAGGGCTATGTACAAAGGGGGAGTGAATCCTGGTCTCTTCTTCATGTTGAAATGGCTAGTACTCCATTGTGCTTTGAGGGAAAATGTCATCCAAAAATTAGACATTAAAAAAAAAAAAATAAAGGTGCAGAAGATCTCCAATCCAGCAACTCTATGTAGGGGAAAATGAATGTGTAAACTCAGAACTGTCTTCAGGAAACTCCACTAGCCACCAGTGTTCAAACAGGAATTTTGATTGTTCTGTATGAACAAGACATGAGTGTTGATCATAGCTACTTGTGTCATCATCTTATGAACCCACAATTGTGGTGCTTCTTCTCCAAGGAAACAGGTCCTTTTACAGTGCAAATGTCAATTCCTGCAGTTTATACATCATCTTAAAGACAACATTTGTTTAATAAAATAAACCATTATATTTTTTTCTTTTTGTTCATTTCAAAATACATTTACAATACATCAAAAATATTTCCCTGGAACATTTTCTCTTTCCTCAATATTAGCATTTTTGTTATGAACTGAGTAGGTGGTGAGGATGTGGGAGCAAGGGGCATGCGGAGTGTTTCTCCCATTCAGGAACCCAGCCAGGTACCAAGTGCCTGTTGACTAAGTGCTGGCTAATTTCCAGGCGGTTTGGGAGGCTGCTGGAGGGACTGCGAAAGACAGAGAGGGGGTCTTGGATTGGCTTGGAAGTGAGACTAGATCTGGCCTGCTGCCCACAGCGACCCCCTCTGCTCTCTCCCGTTGGTCCTCACCCCTTTTGCTGTGAGCCAACTCCACCTGCGACCAGCAGGAAGCAGGAGCAGGCTGGCAACACAGGTGTGGAGATTTCCTCCCAACACCCACCGCAAGCCTCGTTTAGGGTGACCCCATCGCATGTATGGCACAGCTCATTGTGTGGGCACTCCTACAACAACTCCAGGGACCCCGCCAGGGCAGGACGGGTGCAGCTGGGAGCGTGCTTCAGCCTTGGATTTGGGGCTTTGCTTTTAGACACAGACACGAATGATTGTTGCTTCTCATGCCGGTGAATTCAAGACTCCGGTCATAGGCATCCCACAGCAATTACACAAACTATTGAGAGTTAACTAAGCCACAAGACAAAGGGTTAAACATTTACACCCAGTTTGGAGTGCTCTCATAAACAGAGTTTACAAAAGAAACATTTTCTGCCACTGTCTATTAAACACTCTCTTGGCTTCTCTCCCAGCAATTCTGATAAACGCTTCTGTTAGCTTCCTCTCATTTGACAAACCATCCAGGCCGAATTTGGCCCTTCTGCACGTAACTTTATTCCCTGATCCCAAATCGTGATGTCTGAAGTCCCGTGACTGTTTATAACCACCTTATTTTTTTTTTGTTTTTGGTTCTGAACTCTTTCCTGTTCACAGTAACAATGGAGCGTATCACAGTGCTGCAGACGATTCAACAGAAACATGGAACCATTTGGATTTGGTTGTTCTTTAAAGTCCGTCCCCGTTTGCTTTCCTGTACGGAGCAGGCAAGGAATGCAGAAGCTGATGGATGAAGCTGTGTACAGTGAAATTTGTGATTTGTTTTACCATAGTTGAAGTGAAGCACACGGAAGCAAGATTCATTAAAAAGGCAGCATACTGATTATTGTTATGACTCTTATAACTAGGATACTGTAGCTAAAGCTAGCAAGCCTGATAAGATAAACTAAGTCCTATTTACTGTATTTAACATTATCTGAACATACTGAGCCTTAATTAATGAGCAGGTTTTAGTTTCCAACCTCAGTGAATTATGCTAAAATTTATAACCACGGTTTTGGTGGTTCCTTTCTTATTTTTGTGTGTCTTCTTTTTGCTACTACCGAACATAAAAAAATTTACCAAATGAGGGAAACACCCAATGTTTGGTTCTAGAGTCGATTGCTTTCTTTTCTCTTTTTTTTTAAAGCAGTTGGGATTATCCACGGATGTATTTATTCGGCCGCAATTTAACTGGTAACAAGGACTTTTGAAGGCTGGTAAAGATGGTTTACTCTAAAACACCACGAGAGTCAATTTTAGGAGTCCCAGAGTTTCAAAAGAAAGCTCAGAGTGGAATGAGCAAAAAGCGTCAGAAATCAAAACGGCAGGACGCGGTCCCGGCGACGGACGCATCCTCTTCAGCAAGCTTGGAATCTATCGCCTCAGCAGTGTGTCATGAATGTGTCTTTAGTCCTTTGTTGCTAAATTACATCCCAGTTTTCAAAATGACAAGTTTCCGGTTTCTGGCTGTGCTGCTTTACTGTCAAAATATTCTTTGGCATCCACAAAATGATTTGACTGATTTGTTTGACAACTGCAAGGTTTTTGTTTAAAGTGATGGGTTTTTACCAGTTGCAGAAGTGTCCCAGGTATGGTTTGTGGTCTTTTTGTTTTGTGTGGGTTTTTTTGTATTTTTTTTTTTTTTTACTTTTTTACTTTTTAAAAAACAACAGCAACAACAACAACAAAAGTTTCAGTGAATTCCTTTTTTTTTTTTTTTTTTTTTTTTTTTTTTTTTT